ACACACACACACACACACACACACACACACACACACACACATCAGATCTCTAAACTCTGCATTCCTGACGTGTTTTTTTCGTTTTTTGCTGAAACAAAAGGACAGAACAATCTGATAGGAGGAGTGGAGTTAGAAAGGGGGACCAGGGGAAGAGGGAAAGGTAAGAGTTGGCTGAGTAGTCAGGGCTTCAAAGCGCTAGGTCTTTAAAGTTTAAACCCTAGGGAACAGGCGGAATAGGTCTCATCATAAGCAAAACTGGCTAATGCTGCCAGGATAACTCCGGCTCAAATTGTGAGGTCCCTGGCCTCAAGTTTCAAGCTTTTTATGAAATGGATCGCCTTTGAATTAAAAAAGAACAAAAAAAAAGAAAAGGGACAGAGCAATCTTCTTGTTTGCTCATGGAGCGTAGGTCAATGAAAGAGGGAAAACGGAAAGGGAGCAATGTTTCAACCACCACTCTCCCTTTTTTTTCCCTTTTTTGGAGTTTTTTCCCTTTCTTTCCCTTTTTTCCTTTTCAACAGTCACTTTTATTGTCCCTACTTGTTCAAAATTACTGCACATATAGATCACGGGCTACCCCCGTCATGGGTTTTTATTAACTTAACTTTTAATTGAAAATTTGGCGAAACTTCATGGAGATTTTTTTGACGGAAAGAACACTGCAATGCAAGGAGATGATGAGCATACCTGCATTATATCACAGTACTCTTCCCCGAGTGTCTGCAATCCCATCCCAGTTGTGCAGGAGTGATACAATGCTGCACCAGCCATTTTGATCTGTTTCATGGAACAACAAAGTGATGCGAAGACCATGTAAAACCCAGCATTTAATATATATAAAAAAAAAAAAAAAAAAGTTAAAAAACGCTTTTAGCAGTAAAAAATTACTAAAAATTGTAAAGTAGTAAAATACAGGTGTGTTTCCAGTACTAAAACTCACTTGATGAATAGCCGCCAAAAAACAAGCTGCATTCACTCCCTACAGCCCAAGAGCCATGGCCACAGGTAACAGGCACCAATGGAGCAACCATATGTACAGCTAAAAACGGGGGTTATGGGGGGGGGAGGG